CGCTCTGCCTCTGCCTCCTGCGGGCGGGCTGGAAGGGGGCGAGGCTGGGTCCTGCCCGGGCCCCTCAACTTTTCCCGACCCGGCGACGTTCCCCGCGGCCAGGGGGCTTCCAGGAGACAAAGGCTCTGCCCGGTGACCGTGGGCATGGGCCGGAGCCTCCGGGGTCTTTGTGCGGACACGTGCATCCCACGGCTGTGGGGCTTTGTGGGGTTGGGCTCCGTGCCGTGCTTAGGTCTCAGCCTTTGTGTGTCCGCTGCTTCGCGTGGCTCCTCTGCGCCCGTGTCCGCGCTGGTGGGCTCGCGCGCGGGTGTGGGTGGGCGCACGGACTCGTCCGCGCTGTCGACGTGTCCGGGTGGGTGACCGAGGAGCGAGTGCGCGCTGGGAGCCGGACACCGCCCAGCTCCCCGCTCCTCCGCGGTCCACCCGCCCCCCTACTTGGCTTCAAACTTTTCTCTGGGTTCCTCCGGCAACAGTCTGCGTCCTCCCCGCGGCCGCCAGCCCGGAATGGTGGCGGGGTTGGGGGGTCCTGGCAGCCCCCCTGCCTCTCATCTCCAGAGGTCGTCTGGGCTGCTAGGGGATGGGAGAAGATTGGTAGGTGGGGGATCGGCGGCGTCCCGGGACTGGCCCGGGCTTGGATGGGGCGGAGCGAGCGGGACACCCTTGCGGGACACCTCGGGGAAGAGGGAGGGAAGAGTAGGTGTGATCTAGAGACTTCTGCCTAGTCCGGAGACCGGCTCCAGCCTTCGGCTCGGTTTGGCGATCCTCCAGGTCTGCAGCGCATCGGGGTGAGGGTACCAACCCTCCCATCCGGTAGGTGGGAGCCACCGCCCATCTGCCCTCAGGCCTGCTCGCCGGGCCGCCCCCCAGGATCCGGGAAAGAGGGAACTGTGCGCACACTGTTTTGCAATGGGATGGTCAGTGGCCTACTGTAGGCACCGACCTCCCTAAAGTGTTGTTGGGCTTAACAGAGTCTCAGTCACCCAGAAGAGAGGGATGAGAAGTTACACGCCACTCGAACTTGTTTTCGGGATAACCAGCAATGCCCTCGCACACTGAGTCTGGCAAGGTTACTCAAACCTCTATCTTTGCTAGTTATGCTGTGTGCTTGGTATAGGTTTAGACATTTAGATCCCAGATACTGGCCAGAGAGGGAGGGGGCACAGTCCCAACAGACTTTTTATTTTGGTATGAGGATCAAACTCAGGACCTTGTGCTTTCGAGGCTGGTGGTGCCACAGAGCTAAATCCCTGGCCCCCAACGGACTTTTGATCCTGTGTGGCATAGATAACCTTCACACCTGCCCCCACCCCAACTAGAATCTGTAGTGAATTGTCTGGAAAGCTGCAGACCAGAATGAGGCCACTGGCCATTGCCATAGGGAGGAGGGTGGGAACTTTGCTTCTTTCTCTGGGCCTTCATCCCCCTTCTGGAGGAGGAGACATGGACAGCCTCTTTCCCTCTTTTTGGCTGGAAATTTTGATGTGTAACATACAACTCCTTTCTGACTTGATCAATTTGTGGGAACTAACTGTTCCTGAGGGAGGAGAGACCAGAATGCAACTCATGGCTTCCACTGCCCTTCTCCACTGGCTCAAAGGCAAAACAGACTCAAAAATGGAGGGAAAAAACAGCTTGTGGGTAAGCAGAGATCAGATCAATTTTCTTCTTAGTTCAGACTTCTGGTTCAAAGCAGCATTGGTGTACTTAAGAGTTACTCATTCTGCTGGCCATAGTGGCTCACACCCCAGTGATTGCAGCTATTCAAGATGCTGAGGCAGCTGGGCGTGGTGGCACACACCTGTAATCCCAGCACTTGGAAGGCTGAGGCAGGAGGATTGCTGTGAGTTGGAGACCAACCTGGGCCACATAGTGAGTTCCAGGTCAGTTTCAACTACATAGTGAGACCCTGTCTCAAAAAACCAAAAAAAAAAAAAAAAAAAAAAAAAAAAGGCCGA